TGGCTGTAGGAATTCAGGGAAGGCTCCTCCTTGGAAGAGATGAACCTGAGCTATGAGTCTGAATAGGTAAAGGCTCCTATAGAGAATTCCTTGGTCATGGTGACAGAATGCTTACCCAAACATTCTATTAGTCATCTATAATTTCATCTAACAATTCAGAGTAGGATAGGTCATCTTAACAGGCACTTCCAGATGTCTAAATCAAATAGGATGCTCGTTACTCACCAACGATGTTTATGATGACAGTCTACACTTTCTATCAAAATTCCTAGCTTATATCAGTCCCCACTACCCTACATCCCTTTGTTCCATGAAAGAGATCCCTATAGGGAAAGAAAACACTCAAAGAAATCAAGCTTAAGAACAAAGCTTTAAAGTTTTCTGCCTTATCAAATGAAAGACAGGCTGTAAGCAGCCCCACCCCATAGACCAGATTTCTATATAGCAGCAATGAGATGGAAACATTTCAAGCTGTGGATCTATGAGATTAGTATAAGCAAGGGAAAAGCTCTATTGAGCATTCTCAAGGTGAGAAGGAGAAAAAAAACAACAACAATAATAAAAAGGCTTTGAAAACCCCTGTCTGGTTCTGTTGTTAACACCTGGAATTTTCACTAAGAGCAGTAGCAAAGAAGCAATCGCCAGGGATATACTGCAGCCCACCAAAGCATTCATCAGAAGAAAGTTACTGCTTACAAAAAGTCTTTAGGCAAGTCAGGACCAAGTTCTCAGATCCTCCCTTGGCCAAATTATACTTACTTTTTCCAAACAGATAGAAATCTGACAAAAACAAAACCTTGGGCTAAATGAAAGGTTCCAGGAAAGACTGACAGAGATTTGTAACTCGATAAGGACATCAAACACTCAACTGAAAATAACTTACATTTAGCTTTCTACACATCTAAAAATAGAGTGTTTATTCAATTTTTCTAATAAGCTGTCTCCAGGGGATTTCATCATAATTTGTTCTTTGTTGTAGCATGTTTCATAAACATATAACAATAGTTCTTCTTCTACATCAAAGGATTTAAATAACTAGACCTCTAACAACTAGTATGCTGGTATCATTATCCCTGCTCTCCGAATTGTGAAATTGAGGCAGAGAGTAAATGAGGTTTGCCTGTGGCTACAGCAATGAGACCTGAAGCATAAGATAAATGCTTAACACAGGCTTCTATTATAGATCTGGTCTACTCAGGCCTCAAGTATACCTCACTAACCTGCTCTTAGAACATTTATTTAAGGAATAACCAAATTTGGTTTCTAAAGGGCAAGCAGGAACAGCATTAATGACCAATGACCTATGACCACAGAAAGGCAAAGGCTCAAATGCAGATCCGGTTCACTGTCCGAGAACAGCATTAATGACCAATGACCAATGGCCACAGAAAGGCAAAGGCTCAAATGCAGATCCGGTTCACTGTCCAAGGGGCCACTCAGTTTTTATGGGCTGAGCATAGACCACATTCCTACTCTAGCGGACTTCGCATTCCTGTGATGTCTTCCTGTAATACTCAAGTCTCAGCTGAGTATGGTGGCACACACCTGTAATTCCATCACTTGGGAGGTAGAGGCAGAAGGATCAGGAATTAATGTTCACCCCCAGCCACACAGCAAGTTGGAATGAAAGGCCAGACTTTCCTTTATTGAAGAGAAAGATATGAAGAAACAAGAGCTTTATACTTACAGATCAAGGATTCTACAGGAGTACCACTACATACTACTAGGAGACTGCTAATTTTTTTTCTTCCCAAGAGAGGGTTTCTCTGTTAGCCCTGGCTACTCTGACCAGGCTGTCCTTGAACTCAGAGTTCCACCTGCCTCTGCCTCCCAAGTGCTGGGCTTAAAGGAGTGTGTCACCTTGAGACTGCCAATTTTTAAATGGGATTTACACTTTAGGAGGTAGATGCAATGGGTACAAGTGTATAACAAAACTCAGGGGTAGGGACAGGCATGGTACTACACTCAGAAGGCTAAGGTTGAGAGTCAGAGGTCAGCCTGGGCTAATGGCAAACCTCTGTCTTATAAAAGACAAAACTCAAAAGCAAAACCAAAGAGCTCAAAGACAGGGTCTAGCTTTGGGTCAGCATCCAGGCAGGTATGCGCTTTGGAGTAGGTTATTTAAGTTCTCTCAATAAAGAAGGTCAAATTTCTCCATAGTAAAGCAAACTGATGTCTCTCTTTCCAGGGGGTTGTGTGGATTGGAAATCTAGATATACTATTAGATATGAATGCTCTCTGTTGAGATCTTCAGAACAAATGCTTTGGTTAACCCTACAGAAAATAAACTTTATATCCTTGTGACCATAATTGGCTAATAAACTAATTCTACTTCAGGGCAGTCTCTAAGAACAGGTATTAAATTTCCAAAGTAATAAATTACTTTCCAAGATATACTGTTCACTGTATGAAATTTGAGTATCCTCAGAAGTGCTCAGGCAGGTTCCAGGTAGAGATGTGTGGATAATTAGCTGTTACTACAATACAGGTCTCTGTTGTTTTCAACCCTCACCCCTCCCATTTCAAATGTGTGAACAATTAGCTGTTATTACAATGCAGGCCTTTGTTGCTTTCAATCAACAAAGATATGTATTCTCTTGGCAAATTTCGAACAAATAAAAACATGTAAAAGTGAAAGTTTCAGATGTTTAAGGTTATCCTGAGGGAGGTCTTTATATAACATGGGTTTAAAATAATCCCTGGTATTTAAACTTTGTAATAATTCCTCAAATGTTAAAATACAGATTATTCAGAAATTTTCACTTTTTTTCAGGAGTTATCTGTCTGATTCCCACTCTTCACATGTCTACCATCACAAACTCCCACTTTTTCTGCAAAGCCCAATTAGAAGTAAAGCTTTCCTAAGTCAAATTAGTTCCAGAAGCTCTTCTAACTTTACAAGCCGGGCAGGCAACACTTCCTGATGCTCCTCTAGAGGGCGCCTGGTTCACGTCTGACTTCTTCCGGATTCTAACCCACTCCACTACTGTATGTTCAAATTATAATTTTCACTGAGTCATGTGCCACCTGGCTGTACCCAGAAGACATAATATTTCCAATGCTTTGGTTATTCAATGCATCAACCAAGATTCTGGCACCTAATGGATACTCTTCCTTCATACATGCCACTCAAGTTTCCAAAATACACTTTTCCCATCTGTAAAATGGAGATAAATGTCCATGCACCTCAGAGTGTGACTGGGGTGGAAACTGCACTTAAAATACTCAGTATGGAGGATTCTGGTGTTGGAAAACTGGTGGCTTAGATCAACTAAAAATTCCAGTCCAGGCTGGGCTACAAAATGAGGCTATGTCTCAAAAACAGATATATTACTACTTGGAAAACAGATTACGTTGACTGAATTTCTAAATCTTTACTAGTGATCAAACCAAAGAGCAGTTAAAGAATAAATGGGCAATAATGAAAAGGATATAAAGATATATTAAACTAGGTTTGTTGATACAAGTCTGTAATACCAGCACTTGGGAAGTAGAGGCAAGAGAATCAAGAGTTTAAGGTCATCCTCGGCTACATGAAACTGTCTCAAAACAAACAAAAAACACAATATATTTTAAGTCTTAAAAACTAAAACCAACTGGGCGCTGGTGGCACACGTCTTTAATCCCAGCACTTGGGAGGCAGAGCCAGGTGAATCTTTGTGAGTTTGAGGCCAGCCTGGTCTACAGAGCGAGTTCCAGGACAGCTTCTAAAACAATACAGAGAAACCCTGTCTTGAAAAACAAAAACAAACAAACAAACAAAAACCAGGCATGGTGGTACATGACTTTAATCTAAGTACCCAGGAGACAGAGGCAGATCTCTGAGTTTTTGTCCCGCCTGATCTACATTGCAGGTTCTAGGCCAGCCAGTGCCACATAGTGAGACCCTGTCTAAAAACAGTTTTTTGTAAACTATAAAGTACTGCCAAACAATACATTATTTATCTTCAATAAGACTAAAAGTCAAGAAATGGTTTACTACCTTAAGCTTTGGATATATGTGGCGCAGAGAATCTGCAGTTCCCATGTCAGCCTCATCAGGAATGCATACAATATCTGGTTTCATCTTCATCTTGAATTCTGTGCCGAGTGCTTTCTGAACATCTTTGGTTGTAATCACAATGACTTCTATAAGTTGAAAGAAATAATAGACAAATGCAGAAATTCATTCACCAAGGCAATTTCGATCGTTCAGTCAAATGTGCTCTGTTGTGGTAGCACATGTCTGTGGCCTGCAAGCCAGCACTCCAGAGGTGGAGACAGAAGGATCAGGAATAAGGCCATCATTGCCAAAGTGAAGACCACCACGGACTAAGTGAGAACTTGTCTCACAAATTCAAAATCAAAGATAATAACTGCTAATATTACTGAGGCTTTTCAATGTGTTTTATTTTTTAATGGAAAACCAGCTTATGTTTAATTGCGATTTTAAAATTGTCTTCCCATTCCATATTTAATCTCCTAAAATGACAGAAAATCATCACCAAACACAGGTTGAATGAGTTAATAATGCAGTTCCCACATTCAACACCAATATCCTTAAAACACCGGTCAAACTTGGCAGTGGCCAACAGTGAGCTTAATCTTCAGGGTTAACAACCTCGGCCCCGCTGAGGATTCTGTGATGAGGTGGCACTTGCCAGAACTGGCACCACCCTACAGTGGGGGAACTCTAAATGTACCAGTGAGAAAAGCTGCTTTCCCTTCAAGGGGAAGGAAAGAAATGGCTTCTAAGGACCCAGCCAGTTTGGCGGAGGTCTATTTGCAATCTCTTGCAGCTCCTTTTCTTCCCCCTTTCTTTTTCTGCAGCAAGGTATGAGACCAAAACCTACCCAAATTACAGGAAAACCAGACAGGGACGGCTCTGGAGGGAGTGAGCTCCTTCACCTCCCACATGCAATGCCTTTGCATCACCAGGAAACAGAAACAACAAATTCACAAAGTAACAACATTACAAGCACACTGACTCAGGGGTGCTGGCTGGAAGGCAGGAAGGAGGAAAACAAGTGGAAAACTTCACACATTTGCTTGACATCCTTGGGCTGGCTCCATGCTAATCTTCTCTGTATCATTCTAATTGTGGTATATGCTCTGTTGAAGTGAGCATTACTTTAAATTGTCTGTCTTTCCAGACAGGGTTTCTCTGTGTAGCCCTGGCTGTCCTGGAACTCACTCTGTTCCTCAAACTCACAGAGATCCTGCCTCTGCTGGGGCCAGAGTCATGCTCCACTACACCTGGTTGTTTTAAATTTTTAATGTAATTATTTTATTAATTTCTGAGAATTTCACACGTGCATATATTTTGATTGTATTTACCAACTACTCCCAAATCTATCCTCCACCCCTTATCATTAATTTAAAAAAAAGTGTGTGTGTGCTCTCATTTGCTGAGATAGAGAAAGTGTGATTGAAGCAGAGTATAGCAGATGCTCAGTTCTGTTTGGTAGGTGTTGTGGAGCACATTTGTAATCTTAGCACTCTGAAGTAAGAGATTATGAGTTTGAATTTAGTCTGGTATACATAGTGATTTTGGGATTAGCCTTCGTTTTGTCAGGTGGTGGTGTGGGCCTGTAAACCTAGATATTTGGAAAGCTGAGGCAGGAAGATTGTAAATTCAAGATCCACCTGACTACAAAATGAGTTCAAGAATAGCTTTAGCAATTTAGTGGGAGCCTGTTCTTGTTTTTTTTGGGGGGGGGGATAAAGAAGGATGGGGATATGGCTCAATGATAAATCATTTACCTAGCAGGCCTGAGGATCCTAGTTTGGGGAAGATAGAGAGAAAGGGGGAGGGAGAGAGGGAGGGAGGGAGGGAGGGAGGGAGGAAGGGAGGGAGGAAGGGAGGGAGGAAGGGAGGGAGGAAGGGAGGGAGGAAGGGAGGGAGGGAGGGAGGGACGAAGAGAGCAGGGGCTGGTAAGATGTAGAGGCACTTCCTTGAGCCCAATGGCCTCAGCCCACATAGTGGAAGGAGAGAATTACAGACTTCGAAAAATTGACCTCTGACCTCCACACATGAGCCACAGCATGCATACATACACTAAAGGCGCACGCACGCACGTGCGCACACACACATACTAGATAGGTGTATAAAAATGGCTGGAGTTGGTCTCTATATGCATGCAATCATGTATTCTATCCCCAGCACTGCATAAAATTTAGTTTGGTGGCACATGTCTATAATACCAGAACTCAGAAAGTACATGTAGGACTGCGGTCCAAGATCATCCTCTACTACACAAGTTTGAAAACCTGTCTCAAAACTAATTAAGCTGGATATAGTTGCAGGCACCTCTAAACCTTTTGCTTGGGAGACAGAGGCAGGTGGATCTCTGAGTTTGAGGACAGCCTGATCTATATTAGTTTCTAGATCAGCAAAAGCTTCCATGTGGAGAGATCTTGTCTTGAAAATACAAATAAAAATAGCAATAATTAAGCCGGGTGGTGGTGGCACAGGTCTTTAATCCCAGCACTCGGGAAGCAGAGGCAGGAGGATCTCTGTGAGTTCGAGACCAGCCTAGTCTACAAGAGCTAGTTCCAAAGCCACAGAGAAACCCTGCCTGGGGAAAAAAAAGTAATAATTAATTAGAAGCTGGAAAGATGGCTCAGTTGTTAAGAGCACAAGCTGCTCAGCCAGGTGGTAATGGCACATGACTTTAATCCCAGCACTTGGGTGTCAGAGGCAGGCAGATCTCTGAGTTCCAGGACAGCCAGGGCTACATACAGAAACCCTTTCTTATCGTCTTGAAAAACCAAAAGGAAAAAAAAGAAAAGCATTTGCTGCCCTTGCAGAGAACCTGGGTTCAGTTCTCAGAACTCACATGGTGATTCATAACCATCCTTAACGCCAATTCCAGAGGTTCTAACCCCCTCTCGACACTTCTTCTGAAACAGATATGTATGTGGTACACATGCATACATGCGGGCAAGCCATTCATACATATAAAGTACAATAGATAAAAACAAAAACCCAAGCCTCCAAAACCACAGAGAAACCAAACCCTGTCTCGAAAAACCAAAAAAAAAAAAAAAAAACCAACCAAACAAACAAACAAAAAACAAAAACAAAAACCCAAATATTAATTGATTAGGGGCTGGAGAGACGGCTCAGCAGTTAAGACTGTTTGCTGCTCTTGCAGAGGACCCAGGTTCAGTTCCTAGCACCCACATGGTGGCTCACAAACCATCTGTAACTCCAGTTCCAAAGGATCCAGCGCCCTCTTCTGGCCTCTGCAAACAACAGGTATGAACACATTGCACTTATCATACATTAACAAAATTTTTTCAAAAAATTATTAGTAAAAAAATTCTACATCTAGGAAGCACCCCTCAAATTCTGAGTGAGCCTCAGTAAGAAAGGATTTTAAACACAGTAGTCATTACATATACAACAAAATACTACTGCTGAGTATGAACTAAAGTTATAACAAGTCAGAAGTAGAAAGTTTCAAATAACAAATCCACGAAGTTACTAATGAAAAGTAAGGTATCTTATTCTATTTTTCTAGCGATAAGAACCGTTTTGGCTTTCCAGGCTGTCACTGAACTTGTGATCCTCCTGCCTCAGCCTCCTGAGCAGGTAGGATTATAAGCTTATACCACTACCAGTCAAAAATAAATCTATTTAAAATGCATTAGGATGTCCAATAAATTTCTAAATCTGTAAAATGGGTTTCTTAAAACAATAACAAAGCCGGGCTTTGGTGGCGCACGCATTTAATCCCAGCACTTGGGAGATAGAGGCAGGTGTATATCTGTGAGTTTGAGGTCAGCCTCCAAAACACTATAGAGAAACCCTGTCTCGAAAAACCAAAAAAACAAAAAACAAAACACAGTAACAAAAGCCAGGCAGTGGTAGTGCACACCTTTTATCCCAGCGCTCAGGAGGCAGAGACAGGTGGATTTTTGTGAGGTTGAGGCCAGTCTGGTCTACAGAGCAAGTTCCAGGACAGGCTCCAAAGGTACACAGAGAAACTCTGTCTCAAAAACAAAACAAAATAAAACAACGAACAACTCCAGTTTAAAAAACAAAAAGTCTATAGGGCCAGTATGATGGCTCAGGGATTGTTGCCAAGCCTGACCTGAGTTCAATCTCAAGTACCCACATGATGGAAGGACAGAGCAATTCTCGAAGGTTGCCCTCTGACCTACATTTGCACATCCATGCCTATACGTCCCAAAAAGATGGCTCAGTGGTTAACAGCACTGGCTGCTCTCAGAAGACCAGGGTTCAATTCCCAGCACCCACATGGCAGCTCACAACCTTCGGTAACTCTAGTCCCCAGGGATCTGACACCCTTTTCTGACTTCTTTGGCCACTAGGCATGCACCTGGTACACATACATACATACATGAGGTAAAAATATTCATGCTCATAAAATAAAGTAAACCTAAAGAATATTAAAACATACAATACAAAGAATTTGTTTATTTTTATATCTGTGTTATGTATGTATCTGTGTGCATACATATACAGTGCCCCCCAGAGGCCAGAAAATAATATCAGATTCCCTGAAGCTGAAGTTACAGACCATTTGTTGTGAGTTATGAGGTCTGAGCTGCCATGTGGGAACTGGGAACTGAACTAGATTCCTCTGGAAGAGCAGCAAGTGTTCTTAAACACTGAGCCGTCTCTCCAGCCCCAAGAAAGAAAATCTTTAAAATAAATCTCTTAAAACCAATGTGACCTAGACTACAGCATAGAAATGTTTATGGGTCTCTATAACTCTCACAGTTAAATGAACCATTTTGCAGACGTCTGGGCCCTAGGACCGTGATTTGTTGCATTTTGATTCATTCTATTTAATGATACCTCAAACTCAATATGGCCAAACCTGAACTCTTCTTTGTTCAAACCTGTTCCCTGTCTCATTTAATAGCATTATCAATCATCCATCTAATCTGACCCAAGCAAAAAGTAGACAAAAACTCTTCCTACCAGATTTTAAGGAAGGTTCTAGAAGTCAGGGTCTGCCTGAGCTGTCTTTTCAGTCTTCTGTTCTCATGCTTAAAATATTACCAAGCACATCACAGATTCTCAGCAAGTATAGACAACCAGGTTTAGATCCTCAGTCTTGTCTTTCTGATACCCTTAAAGGGCCACCTTGGATCACTGTGGAGAACCCCCTCTTTAACAGCAATATTTAGCACTATGTTCTCGTTTTTTCCCCACACAGTAAGAGGGTACTCCTGGGTCTCCAGCTTAAGCGTCCAGTCTCCAGCAAACGCTCAGCCCTAGTCTGCTATCTTCTGTCCTCTCTCACTCTCATAATGCTGACAAATTATTGGGATCAAACACACTGAGAGTTTTACGACTGCATCTGTCATTGCCACAGCTCACCTTCAAATCCAACACGCTCAAGCAGGTTCAGTGGGTACCAAATTAAGGGTTTGTTTCCAACCGGGAGCAAAGGCTTGGGAATGCTGGAAGTCAGGTCCGTCATCCGAGATCCCCCACCAACGGCCATAACCACAGCTTGAAACTCCATTTTTACAAAACTGCAAGCACAGGGTGTGGGGAAAGAGATGTAACACAAATAAACGACACACAGTACTAGTTTTGTTTTTATTTACGAGTAATTCCCACTTATACCAGACTCATCCTGTTTTAGTTACCACAGTATGAAACACTCCTTAGTTGCAGTTCAAATGTCATCTTTCTCATCTTCTCTAAACAACATGAGTTTTATCTCTAGTTTTGGGAGAGTAACATAAATTAAAGACATCCGACCCTTGCAGTTGAGTTCTTTAAGACAAGTTCAAGCCCAGCAGCAGGGGCGCACGCCTTTTATTTCAGCACTCACCTGGACAACATAGGGACAGCCAAAACTATATACTGAGTGAGACCTTGTCTGAAAAACGCAAGCTTCTCCCAGGGTCTAGCTGGAGAACTGTAGTTCTCACCCCTCATTAAGGAAACTTCCCTTCACAAAAGACTGAGACCAGTACAGAAAACCACAACTAATCAAAACACAGAGTTGTAGAGCCCAGTCCCAACTAACATCATTAAGGAAGACAGGGCAGAAAGACAGGGACAGGAAGTGTGCTGTGGGATCATGCCTTCTAGATATGCCAGAAGTTATACCCATGAAGTGTTACCAGCATGGCA